GTAAGCTGTAGCCTCCATTTTATGATTTTTACTTTGGTCTACATGAATTGTGGTAACCTGGATGAGTAAAGACTTCCTAAGACTTGTATGTTGGCTGATATGGATCTGATTGCTGAACAGATATGGCTCCCTCACAGACACATGCACACTTCAGCAAACTGATTTAATTGTGCGGGAGGCTACAGTAAAGTTAAAAAAGAACTAAGTGCAACAAAATCCAGATATCATCTGAATAAGCAAAAGGAGAGCTCTACAAAGGTAGTTAAGGTAACATGGGGAGGGCTTGCTAGATAAGCAACTAGTAATGCTGAAGATATTCCTCTGCAGAGTGGATGGCAACACAAATTGATCCTGAGCACTGTGAAGGGAGTTATGAGAGGCCTACACAGCCGTGGAGAAGTTGGACAAGTAGTACACACAAGAACTTACAGAGACAGAATAAGTGACCCAAGACTTCTGGAGAAGCTGAAGAAGTAAAAGCATTGTGTAAATGGTGAAGAAATCATAAAGCCTGGAGGCATCAGCACGCAATGCAGGCAAGGGCTAATTTGTATGGAAATATGGCTGGGCCAAGAGCACAAATGCAAAGAAGGTTTCTGGGAACTGGCAGTGATGTATGGGCTGGTGCCGAAAATAGGGAGGGTGCATTTCAACTAAGTGCCAAATCCTGCCTTCCGTTCCGGATGCATGCTCCCTAGAAACTCTGGGTAAACAACGTTGCAGGCAAAGGTTGGATGGACACCAGTGACAAGTCACCAGCCAGAGAGGAATTTGAAGGAGCAATGAAAGCACTGGAAATGAGAAAGCTAATGGAATAAACAAGTTAACAGGTTCCTATAGGAAAAGGATATCGAAACGTTAGGTTATGGCGAGATAAAATAGTTGTTGTGGTTAGAGATGTCTACTCTTCACCTTGTCCTCCAGGAAGCCCTCGGCAGCATATATAGTTGAAGAAGGCAAACTCAGAGTCTTATGCTCATTCAAAGTTTGTTGCTTTTTTATTGAGCCGTATAGTCAAGGTACAATAACATGATTGTAGTATTAGTCTTATGCTATAGTATAATCATTAATCATTCTATTAATCATAGTATAATTGCTATAGTACAGAAAGAGATGCTGCATATACCCATCACTAGAAGAACTGCTTTGAAACTACGTGGATGCAGCAGGTAACCCAGTTGAGAGCTTACACTGCCTTTATAGAAGGTAGGCATATACATGTATAAGAACACGTGTGTATGTATTTAATATCTACGTAAGGTACAAGCTATGCTTTATTAACTTTTAAAGCATTTTGTGTTGGTTGATTAATAGGCAGACTACTTATGTACATTATTTACCTTATTACAGTTTGAATATTTGCCTAAAGATTGGTAAGATTTTGAACAACTGGTTCAAAACACTGTTTGGTGTAAGAATAGAAATACACAGAATTAACCTCTTGTAAGGGGCCTGCAGGGTCTGCAGGGGCTAGGACCCACATCTCACCCTGGGCTGAGCACCATGGGCCTGCCCCAAGGCTCCCCACGGTGCCAAACCCCAAGCTCAGCCCAGGGCTCCTGAGCAACCCTCCAGCCTGGCCGTGGGTCCCAATGCCTCTGTAGTGCTGTCCCTCAGCTGAGACCCTGGCTTCTGAGTGACCTCCCTAGGCCTGGCCCTGGGTCCCAATTTCCTCAGTGGCGGTCTGAATCCCTCTGCCCAGCCTTGAAGACCCTTGGGGCAACTTGAACACTCCACATGTCCCTCCAGGCTCTTCCTGACCCCTCTCCTGCCCCCGGACCCTATAAGGACTTGTATGCACCTGGTCCCACCAGCAGCTGGGGACTGACCCACAGCAACCCCGACCTACAGAGCCGCGTGGTCCCCTGAAATAGCCCCCTGGGGACCTCCGACCTGACCCGGGACCTAGGGGACAACGTGCATGCTCCTGCTACGACCAGTGT